AGGATTACCTGGCGACGCCGATGGTGAAGAGGGCAGATCAGGAGATCTTGACGCGGTTCCCGAAGCTAAGGGAATCGCTCAGTGTCGGGGTCAATGCGAAGGAGGATTACCGCCCCTTGGCGAAGGGGGCACCCGCTACGGCGAAGCATCCGTTCCGGTTGGTACGGTTCATGGTGCCGGCGGCGTTTATGAAGGAGCGGTCGGTGACGGTGCTGGGGACGCCGATGACGGTGAATACGCCGCTGATTGCGCAGGTGCAGGCGCTGTGGGTGGCGGCGTTTATGGGAGATGGGATGGGGGTGAAGGCGCGGGAGACGTGTCCGGAGGAGTTGAAGAAGGGACTACTAACAGAAGGAGAGGTGGATGGGGACGTGGTGTGGGAGATGGCGCTGCATACGCAATTCGGGAAATATCGGTGTCCGGGAGGGTTTGGAAAGAGGAATCTAGATACCGTGTTTGATACGTTGCCGTATATCGATCTGTTGTTGCAGGATTTGGGGCTGGATTGGCGGCGGAAGGGGAGTTTGAAGTGGTTAGAGCCGTATGGGATGGAGGATTATAAGGGGTTGGTGGAGGAGTGGTTGAAATGATCTGTCCATAACTTATCTTAGTAGTACTAGTAGTACCTTTTGTGAATAGGCAACTTGAATACATGTGTGTGTGTCCATTTCAGCTACAACTTGTTGACTAACACTACAACCTGAATCCTTCAAATACAGCTACTCCACCATCCAGTCTCTGGCCCTCCACTGTCCCCCAGACTACCCCGTTCCATCGGAAATAGTCCTTCCCATCACCGGCCACCTCCACTGTACCTTGGATCTGCAGATCCACGCCAGACATCACCACGTCCACGGCATAGCTGCTCGACGTCATCCGCTCCTGGATGCTGATGATGCTCGTGCGACACCCGGACTGCACGACCTTGCCGTCACGGGCCAAGTAGGCGCTTCTGATCTGCGTGGTGGAGTTGTCGGCTCCCACTCGAGGCGTGTACTGCAGCCACACCAACGAGTAGGATCCGATATGCACATGGCCCCAGGACCAGGTCTTGACGGTATTCTGGAAGGGCCGATTTCCCCAATTCTGACGCTATCAGGCACAGAACCAGAATCAAGTGAAAGGAGAGGAGGAGGCTACCTTATCATGGTACCCATACCCCGTAAACTGCAATTTCTCCCCATCGACCATCAAGTCCACCGTGGCATGCGAGTCCGGCACCATACTCACCCATCCCAAGCCCTCGCCAAGCCCCAACGCACGATTGACCTGTTCAGGTGTCGAGCAAGGTAGAAGCGGCGGAGTAGGCTACCATCATTATCGTTAGGTAACCAGCATCTATCTTGTTCTCAAGAAAGGTGTACTCACATTACGCAACTGAATACTCCCATTCACGCGCGACCCCTGCCACCCCACCCACGCCTCGTACCCGGATTTCTTCCCGGACCACCCCCCTGTCCCTTCCCAACCCCCCGAGTTGACATCGCGGTCGCCCATCACCGACGCATCAATCGGAACGGCACTCTGGACAACGGTGGTGCCATTCGGCAAGGTAGCCCATGCGTAGGTGAGCAGGACAGACGACGAATTAGGCGGGACAGCAGGAAAGGCTGTGGCGGTGGTAGTGAAGAAAGTGAGCACAACGGAGGCGTTGGGGTTAGCGGACGAGACGGCGTCAAAGTACCACCATTCGAAGACGGTGGTGTTGACTTCGGATAACTTGGGAGCCTCCAGGTCAGCAAGGGCTGTAGAGTCAGGGACGAATTCGACATGCACGGGATAGTCGACTGGGGTGGGGTTGATGTCTTTGAGGTATTGCGCGGTGGTGGTTAGGGCTATCGCGGCAAGAAGAAGAAGAAGGGAACGCATGCTTGGTGATGGTGATGGTATAAATGATGTCGCTATTAATCAATCTGTCTGTCAGGAGGGCGCTGGCAACAGCGGACAGGTATCGACAATAGTAGCAGCTTTTATGGGCGTGGATGTGTACGCACACCCATTGCAGCGGTGGGTGAGACAACAGGCGGAGTAGTAATGCTCCCGGCGACCCTGGATACCCCCAGCTGACAGGGCAGTCGCTCATGTGCCACCCCAAACATCCCCAATCTGAGTCAGAGCCAATGGAGAAAGATAGAGACAGAGATAAGTAAAAAAGTAAATAACAAACGAATCAATCCATACACGCTGGCCAACGCCTCTACTTACATACGTATACATGAATCAGGCTGTCCGACGCTGATGCCATCCCGAACAAGCAAACAATCAACAATCCGGTCCCAACCTGTCCCGTCAGAAATAAGTCACAGTCAATACAAACTCGCCGTCCAGAGTAGCTGGTCAATCAAATACAATAACGACCCTCCATCAACTCCTGAACATGCGATAAACGCCAATCCCTGTCTCAGTGCTGTCCATTCGATTCGTCACTTCGGTCCTCCTCCTTCACTCCGTGCTCCCCTGGCTTCAGGCCATCAGAGCCGTCTTTTCCGCAGCCTTTCACAAGGATGTGTCGCTGTACACACATGTTAGACCCGATCATTTGTACGCAGAATGTAAGTAAGAATCTCACCTTTAGCGCGTCCTTGCGCGAAAAGCTCTTGTCACAGTGGGTGCACGGGAACGGCTTCACCGAGAGGTGAATTCGCTTATGCCGCTTCAAGTCATGGTTGCGGTTGAAGCTTTGTGGACACTGGTCACACTTGAACGGTCGATCGTTGGTGGGTCCGGGAGCGCCGTGACCTGGATGGGGTGGGTGACCCCCATACAACTGCTGCATCTGCTGCATATTGGCCACGTGCCCACTGTTGTACCCAGGCAATCCAGGCAGCACCCCGGACTGCAGGTTTCCGGTAAGTGACATCTGCCCGTTCGGATTGTGCACATTCGTCCAGATGGGTCCGTTCACCGCCGGAAGCGAATATGACGGCCATGGCTGCCGTTGATAATTCAAGTGGTGCGAGGGGTGCGGATTTGATGCCACCCGATTGGGCACGATTCCCTGTTGTCCGTACGGCGAATAGCCGCCCGGCGGGCTGGCCAGTTGCTGGATAGTGCCATACGCTGGGGCAGACGATGATTTGACCATGTAGGGGTCGTTCGAAGGAAGAGGATGCGGCGACGGCGCTGGATTAGGCAACGGGTTATGTGCTGACAACATTGCGTGTGTCATGGCATGATGTTGTTGAGGAGCACCCGCCTGAACAGGTGCAGTAGTGGAGACCGAGGCAGATTGGTGAAACGGAGGCAAATGATTCATCTCGTATGGCTGGGTGATATGCTCGGTGCCTGGAGTCGACGTGGCAGGATTGCGATTCAGGGAGTTCACCGACGGGGAGAAGGTGTCTCGACTTGGATAGGACACCACACTTGAGTTCCACGACTGACGGGCAGCTGCTGCCCCTGACCCACTCTGGTATGCGCTCTGGCTTTGCCAGTACGGTGCCAACTCCGGATTTGTGGGTGCCGTGGTGGTGGCTGTGTGCGAGGTCGTAGCAGGAAGAGTTTCGCCAGATTGGGTGGTTGCTGGTGGTGTAAGAAGGTTGCTGACGCTGGGGTTGATGGGCGGAGGATTGTGATGGGCGTACTTGACGCTGGTCTGGAAGTTGGGTGCAGGAAGCTCAAAGCTGGGTAAAGTCGGGGCCGCAGGACGACGCGAGTTCAACGGCTGGTGGTTCAGCGCATCGAGCGCCGTCCCCATGCCTGGAGGGGGGATCGCGAGGGCAGCCAGGTTGGCGGATGTCTCGCGTGAGAAGCTCGAGGAAGGAAATAAATCACCCACTACCACTGGAGAGGGGGTGGCCAAGGTGCTGGACAGATGTCCCGAGAAGGCGACCGAGTCAGATCCAAGGGTCCAGTATCGACTGCCAGACAGGCCACCGGCAATGTCTGGAGGATCCAGGAGGGGCGATCGGATCGCGATCAGCGATCTGAGTCTGCAACGGGGGTGGTCCTGGGAGATCGACCGTAGGTATGATGCTGGACGGGTACCACCTGTGTCGGTTGTTTCACGATCGACGAAGAAGATTTCACGTCAGGTTGGATTGGCGCCCAATGTTTTTATCCAGAAGTCATATCCTTTCCGATGGAGTGAGAGTGCTGATGCGACAGACGGATCAAGCGCGAAAACGGCAATGGAGAGAGATCGACGAGGTATGTTGGATAATAGGATAGGTATATTGCGAATGAGAAGCTAGTCAAGACAACGGCATGATCTTTTTTTTTCCGTCTCCAGGCAGGCCAACGCGCCCTCACGCGATGCGCACGAGAGAAGACAGAAAATAGTTATATGTTGATGTGGATGTGGATGCGCGATGAAGATCTGGCGGAATGACAGTTTAGAGTACCATGGACGGCAGTCGAATGGCAGCGGGGATGGTAGGATCCGGCGCGCGTAGAGCGAGATTTAGGAGGGCGGGAAGGGAAGATTGGCGGGCGGAGTCGGAGTCGGGAGTTTGTGGTGGACGGTTTGGTTTGGTGGGAGCTGAAAGAGTGGGAATTAGTGGTGAAGATCGGACGAGTCGTGGGTGGCGCTGATGGTGGAGGGAAGATGCTAGTTAGATAGGCTTGCACGGCAGGGGAGGGAGAGGAGAAAAGAAAAACGAAGTCGTGAAAAGACAACGAAGGGAGGGGGGGGAAAGTTCAGGGAGGGAGATCTTTTATTGTTCGTGGGAAACGAGAAAGAAAGAAAGCAGAGAGACTCGGGTTGGAGGTGAATATGAATAATAATATGGATTATTTGCTGATGGGCGAAAATGGGGAGGACCAAACAAGCCGGGAATGGAGACGTATCCAGACCAGTCCAGCGCCGGGTCTGGCCAGCGCGGGGGTTGAGTTCACGCCGGGAAAAAATACCAGGGAGAACATACCCACCCTGACGGTCCGATAATGACTAACTCCCTCTCCTTCACGCGATTTTTTTTTTTTCTTTTCTCTATTTATTTTTATTTGGGTGATGGGCTTGAATTCTACTTATCTACGGAGCACTACAGGATAGGATGAGAAAAAAAAAGGAGAACTGGTTAGATACAGAGCATGACATCCATCCTGTACTCACGCAGGACTATCCCAATTCGACCTTCATTTTGTGGTAATAATATCATTATGATTCTTCTTATTCCCATTCCTATTATTCATCCCATCAGCAGTCAATTAGAAGAAATAGAAAACCAAATAAGAAAAGAGAATAATATTCTTCTCAATCAGCAGACTCCAAAAAGCAGCATCCAAAGCAGCTAGTCTGGTCCGACCGCATGGAGTGGAGGATTCCCAATCGGGGCCAAGGCCCAACCAAAATTTCAGCAGAAATGAATGAAATGGATGAATGAATGCTTGCTTGTTGCTGCACTTTTCTTTTCTCGAAATGTATTTAGTTATTTAGTATACTTATTTTTAACACAACTCTCACTGTTTGGTTTTTTATTTTTTTTTAGGGAGGAATTATTTATTCCTTTTCTCTTCATGTAACCCGTAATAAAGTCTATTCAGGCAGAAAGCAAATCTCCCCTCCATGAGGTGAAACATAGAAGTAGAGAAGAAAAGAAAAGAAAATCATCATTCGGAGAGCACACAGAGAAAGAGAAAGAGAGACAAGCCCAGCCGCGCCCGGACAGGCCCAGGACGTTCCGCCGGTAATATTGAAAGGAACCATTGACAACAAACTTTCCTACCTGACTGAACCTTACCAGTCACTCACTCGCTCAAATCACTCTCCCTCCCTCGCTCACCCTGAACCACACCCGGATGGAGCCATTCTCCCGGTCCAACCACCCCCAGTGCGACTGACTATTGACCACTTAAGCCTAGCCTAGCAATTCCTAAGCTAAGCCGAACCAACGACGACGGCTCGCTAAAACACACTTGAGCCAGTCCCAGAATCCAATCCCTCGACGCCTGATCAACGGCAACGTGGTTGACAGGGCTCGTCCAGGCGCCCAAGCTGTTTCCGTTCCACCTTTGGCGCTTCCCACGGTCGAGGGGGGCGACTCGGTTAGTCGGCCACCTACTAGTAGTAATCAGTCCTCCACTGAACATAGATAGCTTAGTAGTTGATCATAGATGTCTTAGCAGATAAATAATCAATAATCTACTCATGATGAGCAGGAGCTTTCCCTCATTCCAGTCATTTCCCTTTCCCCCTTCAATATCCTACCAGATGAGACGAGATATGGACATAATTTACCTCGTCTCGCCCGACAAATAGAATCGTCCAGACCCTCTTCTGCAGATGGACTTGACCCGAAAAGGGCCAGAATCAATGGTGCCAGAAAACCGGTTAGCCCTCCCAGAATCCCTTTTGGGTCTAGTCGCTCCGCCGTATTGTTTATCCAATCTCTCACTGCCTTTTTCGCTGGGGATTTGCTGATTGCCCCCTTTGGCAGCTTCTCAGGAAACAAAACAAATGTCACTGTACTTTACACCGTACTTCTGTTCTGTGCCTTCTCCACATCCTTCCCTCCCTCCTTTTTAGATTTTTTTTTTTTCTAAAACCCTACTTTTTATTCCCCCTCCTCCATTACTCCATACAGATCTTGGGATCGTAAAAACTAGGTTGGCTGTATGTATGTATAGATAGGCATGTGGAGCGCCGTCCCGGCTGGACGATCGGCCACCCCGACCCAGCAGGGAATGCTGGCCACTGTTGCCCTGTTTGGTGGAGTTTAGAATAAGCTTAGCCCTCTGCGTCGGGGGTAGCGATCAGAGAGGAGGGGAAGGGGAAAAAGGGGGGGTTTCTCCAGATCGACGGTGGATGGTCGGGAGAATTAACAACGATCAGACTGATGGCACGGATAGAGACACGTCCACCCAGGGTTCATCTCCCAGGGCACCAGGGGAGAAGAGGGGAAGACGAAGCAAAAGAGGGCCAGCGAACAGGCCATTTACGGAGTACACGCCATGGCCAATCGACGTGGACCAGCAGCAATCAACACCAAACCAAAAGAAATCAAAAATACCAAACGAACAAAAAAAAAAGAAGAAGAATCGAAAAAGCAAAGCACGGGGGACCCGAAAAGGGGCAGGCAAGCGATCGTTGCTCCTTGCGTCGAGGAATGCATGACAGATGCCGGGCGGTGGAGGACACAGCTGAGGCTGATCGGGTCGGGGCGAGAGGATGGGGGAGGAGGAAAGCCATGGCGGTCCCTCAGTGCTGGTAAGCATCATAATTTTTGGAATCCATAATTATTAGAAACATTATCGGCAATAATTAGCTGGCCGGCAGGGCACACAATTGGCAGCTGGGGGAGATTATTCTTAGCTGAGCAGCCCGCGACCGACCGACGTACGGAGAATTACTTGGGTATAGCTCGACGGGGAGATCCACCAATGGAACATTCTACGTCCTTGAGGGTGGGAGGGGGGAAGATGTCCTAGTATGGTGTCCAATGAAGGAAACGATATGACTAGAGAAAGATAACTACCATCACTAATCGAAATATCATCAGGTTGGATGAAACAATATATCGGGACCCAAAGGGAAAGGTGGTTTCTCGATCCAAGGTTGATGGGGGTTTTTGTTTTTTGGTACCTCGTATCCGTCGGCCATCGACTGCTCTGGCCTGGGCCCTGCTCTCACGCACGGACACTGCGTCCCGGCCCTCATCCCAATGCACTTGCGCAGGAAAACCCATTCTCCGTCAAAGGCAAACGGTCCCTGGTCCGCTTCTTCCATTCCACGGCCAAGGTCACCTGTTCTTTCCTGGGACCCTGGCTCTGAACGGGGGATAGACCCCCGATCGCTTGAGGATGAGATTCCAATCACACTGTCCCATTCCTCAGAGGATCCCCCCAACTTCCAATACGAGCGCATATTGGACCGCCCACGATAGGGTTGTTGGCACTTGTCAGTCTTGCGGGCCATCCACCCATTCATTCCCCCGAGGGAGGAAGAACCAAGCGATAGGCAGGGACAAGTCTGACCAGAGTTTCGCGGATCCCGGTCCAGCACGATTGATTGGTGGATAGACCCGTGTCTGGCAGTACTCCGTATACTTCCATTACTCAAGTCCTCCGTACTAAGTCACTATCCGTCTATCTACCACTACTTACTACTTGGTCTTAGCCTGAGTGGTTAACTCTCCCCATACAGACCGTCGCTCTGAATAATTTACCTGCCCTTTTTTTCGTTTTCCCCCAGGTGGTACAGCTTCGATACGCCCGGTACTAGCGCCTTGGAAAGAGAGTCTGCACTGGCTGGCTCGGGCTTCGGGTGTGGCCCACTAACCCCATCCAGGCGTTAGCGTTTGACTCTTCCCTCCGTGATGCCCCACCTGACTTGCCTGGCTGGTCGGCCTGCATCTTGGGACAAAGCTGCCGGCCACTCAGGCGCCAGTCTTGCTTGACACGCGCAAGCTGTTCTACACCTACACTCTCTCGGTCACTTACTCGGTTCTGTTCTGTTCCTTCTGGGATTCTCCTCCGAGAGAGGATTTGAATAACAAGACTTCATTAACTCATTAACTCTCTAGATATTAATTAAATTTAGCTTATGTAGTACTGTTTTCCGTATTGGTATTGTTTGTAATGGGAACCCTGCTGACTATTCTCCGTATCTACTTGTATTCCAGATACGGAGATAGGCCTCGGATGGCTTCAGCATGGCTTCGTCAACCAGGTCAACCTTAATCACCGCCATCCGCGATGGTGTCAACAGTCGGGTTTCAAATCAATCCGCTGAAGAAACGCATATGCAAGCCCCGTGGACTACAAGATACCAATCACCGCAGTCATTGGTTCCCCCGGAAGGTTGCCAGACGAGAAGGATCCGTGGATTGATCATACCTACCTATCAATGAACCTCCCCCCGGCCTAGTATCAACGCTAAATAAGGCCCCCGTCCAAGGTACTTACTTACTGGAGTAGGAGACTACTGCCCCCTTGGGTAGTACCTTAGGTTCTCCTCTTCCTTTCTCCTCCTCCTCCTCCTTCCCCCATGTCCTGGGTAGTGCGTGACCAGACCGCACAAACAAAGAGGCGCCGGAAATCACAAGCTTGGCCTCCTCTCCCTGGAACCTAACGGTCCACCATCTCTAGCCTTTCCCGACGGGAGGCGCGGCCAGCACCAGCCTGTCGGTATTGGCGGGGGTTTAGGGGTCGGGAGATCGAGGGCGGTGGCGGCCACGGTGACAGACGCATTAATAATCACGAAGTAAACTGTCTTCATCCCATCCATCCCTCCATCTCGACGCACTATTTAGCCAGTCATCTCAGTTTATCCTCCGTACGCATGCTACGCCATTCCATGTCATGCCATGCTGTATCCCCCCCGGCAGTGGCTCGCAAGGGGGTTCTCCTTGCCATTCCGTACAAGAAATAATCACCCCCTCCCCACCCAAATTGCGGACAAACAACCCTGCCCGGAAGCTACTCCTGTACGACTTGGTTCAATCTAGACAGACAGGGGGGGTTCGATGGGTCAACTTGTAGCCAATGTGATCTGTGCATCGTCGATCAAAGCACATCTTTATGATCAGTCGTTTTTCGCCCCCTTCATCCATTTTTCAATCTTCCAATCGCAGCGTGGAGCCTGCGAGATTATAGCCAGAAGGACTAACTGCCGACTAAAGGTCTTAGCCGCTCAGGAGAGCTGCTAGTGTGCATTGGCCTCGAAAAGGGTCTGCTCGGACGTTATCCGTCTGCAAGCTAGGAGATAGATAGATAGGAGATTGTAGCAGTGGGCAGATTCTACACCGCACTTGCCACTGTGACAATGACTAGAGTAGATTACGTGCCGCAGCCGATATCCCTTTCCGACCATGACAGATGTAGTTTACTTTGATAACTACTTACTATGAGTGAGATGGCGTCGTCGTCAACCCGACCAGGGATTGACAACATGTGATAGGCTCATGGCTATCGCTCTTGTCACGGTGTTCCTTGCACCCGTCTCCTAACCTTGCTGTTAACCTAGTTTTATACTTTTCGTTCCGGTTGGGGGCTAAGAGAGGTGCTTGGTTGCGCTAGATCCGCGAACATGATTTACCTACCCATCAGGCTTGGCTGCGCAGATAGTTAGCTGCTGACAGGCGGACTGTGATGGATGAGGTGAATCATCAATCGAACTTAAATTACGGGAATAGGAGAGATATCACTGTTTCAAGTTACACATGAGTGTAGATGTCGCGGCTGACACATTAATCACTCAGCTTATGGAGTGGCAAACTCAATGTTGGAAGTGTCTCTGAGATATTAGAATAGCTTAATGCTAGACATAAGTACTATACCAACCTCAGCTTATACGCCAAACCGCATACACAAGTCTACATATGTTCCCGAAGGAAGAAGCCATCGATGACTGACTAGCGGCGATTATTGTCTACTCTAAAGTTAAACACAGTACGCCTTAAGCCTCACGGAACGCCAACACGTATTGCAATAACTCATCACTTTGGTTCGGAATATGATGAATACACTCACTGATTCGAGCCCTTTAGATCATCCTAGCAAACAACTCTACCTCCGGAAACCAAGTCAACTAACATGTACTTTTTAAAGCCACCACCACCGCAAAACAAGATTCTTCCATTTCTATCTTGAACGGCACAATATACACTCCACCAGAAAGAAAAGGAGACAAGAGGAGGTTCGAGCTCAGGCTCCGTCCGGAAAGCTTGAAGCGGATTCAGTTTACG